TATACCATTCAAACATCCCAGCTGAATCCCTTAAGGCTCAAGAAACTATTTTAAGTATATGCTTCCATTTTGAGACAGTTACAAAGTATTTATAGAAAGCTTATGAGTCAGTTGAATGAATTATGACGCCAAAATGTGCAAAGGAGTGAAAACTTTGGTTGTTGTTCTTGCTACCATATGTATAACAACACTTCACAAAAGTCCCCAATGTTTGTGTTGCTAAAACATGGAAGGCTGGGTTTGAACATTTTTAAAGGAATGATTCCCTATGGAGAAAGTGAAATATATTATAGAATTAGCTCTGGCACCTTCTGAAAGCAATGCATCATTTGAAAAAAAAATGTTGGTTACAGATGCTGTCTGATAACAGGCTGGAAATGGATACAGCTAAAGTCATCTTCATCGGTAAAACCAAGTTTAGGTTATCACACATTGGATTTCACACTTGTTAACTTGGATATAAATTTCAAATAAGAAAAATACACTCTTGCAACAAGTCAATACCTGGAAGTCTATTTAAAATGTCATCCTTTGGTTCACGGACTATCATTGCTCTGCAAACTCATGTGCAACTTAGGTAAAGCTGCCTGGATGAAGTTCAAACCCAACTCATACTACAAGAAATCCCACTCTAAAGACAAGCATGTGAAAAAGAAAAGAACCTGTATGGTGTTTCAGTCATGCAGTTTGAGTTTAATCTGTCCAACTGATATATGTTCAGTGTTTAGAAATTCAGATTTGTGGCCCATTGTGGCTCACCTAGCTCTACAGGAACCCAGGACAAGTCTGTAGGCTGAGGAGGAGGAGTAAAAATTGTATATTATTTTTCTTTCCTCTATCCCTATTTTCTCATTCCTAAACACCATGACAGCCCTAGAGGTAATGGGAGTAGCTTTAAAAGAATAAACTACATTTGAGTGAGTTACATTAACATACCAAGTGTTTTAGCACTTAAAAAGGCTTAGTAAAAGGCAAAAGCAGAGTGAAAGACACCAAAATAAGTAGGAAATAGAAAGTACCATTGAACTATACCAAGCCCTACTTGTTTCATCTCAAAGTTACATGGCAGAGAGGGAAACTACATTCAGAAAAGGACACACTCAGCCTGAAGTGTGTGGGATTTTCTAAATATGCTCTGCAAAAGTAGGTCTAGGGCATCTGCTTCCTACCCTCCTTGCCACTAACACTGGTACTCATTAAAATTAAAATTAACTTTCATTACTGTTTATCTTAAAAACTGAGCTTCCCAAAATCCTATCATTCCACGGAAGTTTGGGAGTCTCATGTATGTGGTTCAGCGGCTGTATGTGTTAGAGAGTTGCTGGCTTCCTTTGCTTGTTGTATGTGTCTGAAGAGATATCCATACACAACCTTACTGTTTATCTTTATTGTGGACTTTTTTTTTTGCAATCACATTTCTTTCTTTAGCAGCTGTTGCTCAAAGTCAATGACCCAGATTATTTCTCACACTGGCCTGTGATACACATTGACCACTCCAAACTACTATTACTGGTTTAAAGGAACCTATCAAGTCCTCCTTTGGGCAAAATAAATGCCTTTGACTTAGTATTCATGATTTAATGATTTGCCTAAAATACAGTCCCCTTGCATGACTTTACAGTGAAAGTTGAAGCAGGTAACATTTATTCTAAACATATAGCTATCCCTCTGCTAGGAAAGTAGGGGAAAAGTAGGGCATTTAAATTATGTGTGTGTGTTCTCTGATAATAGTTGTATTGTGAGAGTTTATTCATTTTTATCAAGATATTAAATATATTTCAGGATTTATAAGCTATTACCATTTATTTTTAAATCAATATTTTACAAATATATTCCTCATGAGTTACATACAAACAATTTCAAAAATCTATGAACACCTCTTCTTTAAATACCAATTACTAACTTTGGTAAATGAATAACTCTGCCCTTAAGATCATGGCTCTATTAGCTGCTTATTTTCACACCATCCTGATTATATGGCAGTGCTCTGGAATTCCTCCCAGGAACCCTTAACCAAACTACCTACACTTGCTGACAAATTAAAGAATTAAGAATAATTGGTATATTATTTTATATAAACTTGCAAAGATTGGGAAGAAAATTAATAAGAAGTCTTTGCATCAAGTTCATGATTTTAGCACTGCCATTTTGGGATAATCTGCCAAGCTTTTAGTTTGAAATCAGTTAATTGTCTTCATTTTAGATTTAAAATAACATAATAGGTAGTAGTCAATCTGTTCTTTTTGGTTTTAACAGTCAGAAGGATTTTAGTCTTTGTTTTATTTTAATTACCCAATTAACTTCTTAGTTGTACTCTTATCTTGGGACCAAAAATCTGCAAATGATTTTAGATTTAATGTTAACAGCAGAAAGAGAATGGAACTTTCCAATTACAGCACTGAAAGGGGAATGACTAGGCATGAGTTCGATTCCAGCTCAAAAAGTAAAAACTTTTAGAAGGTGAGATTGAAAATGTGACACATTAATGTCCCATTATTAAAATAGTTATGAAATACTCCAACTCCCAGGTGAGAAAGCTAAACTTTGTCAATCTAAAACTAAACTATGCTGTTATAATAGTTGGTGGTGTTGTTAGCACACTTTGAGTTAACCCATCAATTCACATCCAAGAACGTTAGCATTCATAAGCTGCAAAATAAATTGCTGTAAAAATAATGTCATTTTTGACACCTTCCAAACTGCCTTGGATGAAAAAATACCTACTTTATTCAAGAAAGATGAAAGCGGGTAAGGTGGGGGAGGTGTAAAAAAAGACCTTGCATCTTGTATTGGGAGAAATTAGCCTTTCCAGTAAAACCATTTACAAAAATAAATTAAAGGCCAGTAAGGAAACTTACTATTCCGTGCTGAATTATTTCTCCCTCTCTAGTACTATGGAGAGACTGAGTTCAAGGTCCCTAGACAAAAGACTGAGTCTTCAAAAAAAATGTTTTTACAGTATTCCTTTCTCAGATGGGGGTTAAACCTTTTCAGAAAACAAAAGAAGACTTTGAGAAAGGCTGTTTTTACTGTGTGAAGGAGTAACTCCTCCCCTCCCGGCTACAGCCCTTGGCTTGTCCCACTTTAGGAAGTCTTGCAAAAAGGGTGTTCACGTTAACTTGTGAGATAATGTTGCAAATCTAGGAATTATCAAGGATTGGGCAAGGGTTGGGGTGCACCACATAACTGAATTGTAAATGCGGATGGTAAGGTGACAACGCTGCTTTCTCCTTGGATAATATTCAGGATGACAGTGTCATTTCAGGGTTGCCAAACGCTAAAGAGTTGAAAGAGAAGGAGTAAAAGGACAAGGGAGGGAGGTATAAGAGGAGGCAGGAACAGAAGGGCCCAGAGAGAAACAGGGTAAAACTGGAGCACGGGATGAGAATTCCAGGACAGAGGCACAGAGCCCACTGCAGCACCGCACTCGCTGGTAGCCAGAAGCTAGTTCCAGAGACTCAGCAGCAACCCAAACTTCCCAACTTGGGACAAATGCCCAGGCTTCCCCCACAAGTACGGGAACATTTGCCCTTTTGGACCTGACCGTCTAACAACTCGCAGTTTCTTTTATGCAGCAGTTAGGGCGGCACACGATGCTCAGCTTCCACACCTACCTCCTCCACCCCCGCCTACCCACTTCTCCTCCTCCACTCACACCCGGCACCCGCAGGCGTAGCTCCTTTGGAGCGCGCCACCCCAGCTACACTGTATTTGCAAGGTTCCAGAGACGGGGAGAGAGCAGCCACTTGCTGCCTAGTGGCTGGGGCTCCAGAGGCCAGCGGGGCACCCGGTGGAGCTCCGGACGCCAGGAAGGCTGTGTGGAGCCATGATCTACTACACCGCAGTGCCAGCATTAGGACGCTCCAGTGCCTGTGCTGCTACTGCAGGAGGGACCAGCCCCCACCCCACTACCACACCCCGCCAATGCCTCCCCACGCACAAACACCCGGCTTCTAGTTCCTCCCCATCTTGAGCCAAGCCGGGCAGCGCCACATACCCCTGATGCCAGAGCACACCCCTCCCTGACTCGCGCCGCCACCACCATGCAGCCCTCCAGCCTGGCCTCCCTGGACTGCTCTCCCACAGCTCTGTGGCCGTACTCAAACACCTCACATTGAAATACCGGAAAGTGAACCCGGGTACCCAACTACCCGAATCACCTACATTTGCATTTCTTATGTAATGTGCTGCAAGTTTCCTGGTTGGAGCCCTTTAGAAAGGGGGTGCATAATCAGCAGGGGCCTGAAACAGGGACTCGCGGCCGGGCTGATCCAACCCGTGGTAGCAGGACACGGGGCTTTGATACAGCTTTTTAAGGGGGGGAGGGGGGGTAATTACATATATTAGGAGGGGGCGGGCTTGTCTTCTCAGTCTGGGGTTCCCTCCGGGCATATAAGCTCTGCTGCTGATGTGGCAGGAGGTCTCGGAGGCAGACCCGGGAATGAGTTAATATTCGGGCACCCGGAGTACACTGGGGAGGGAGGCGGGGGCTGTCGGAGGAGCGGGGCCGAGAGGGAGGAGGTATGTTTTACTTTGGGTAGAGGTAATGGCGTGGCGAATATTGTGCAAGCTAATCAGAAGGTCTAGAACAGGTTCTCGGCACCGAGCTCTGTCCTCCGAACCTGCAGCAGAAGGCGAGCTCGCGATTCTTTTTCGCCGGCAACTACCAAAGCTTCATCTGCCTCAGTCAAAACCTTAAGTCATAGCCCTTCAATACTCCACCGAACATCGGCAACCAAGTACATTTTTTAAAAACTTTCCTCCTCTCTCCTAGTGATGGATTGTGTCACAGCCAAGAGAAGCTAATACTGGTTTTCTGGCTCACAGATGCCGACCCAGCTGTTACTTGTTTATCCATGCAACACCTCTATATGCAACACTGTGCTGGTTCCGTTTCTGTTCCCCTGCCTTCCTGCATAGCAGAACTGCAGATCTAGCTCAATGAGCAACACACAGGTTATTATGAGGAAAAAAGATAATATGATGTATATTTTGCTTACCAGTTGGGTTCTTGTTTTTCTTAAGACTCTTGCCACAAAGACACTGCAGCATATGCGTTCCTTTGCTGAAAATGTTCCAAAGAAACCACATTGATTTGGGCGAAAAGCAATCCAGAAGCTTAGACACCCTGAGAAAGAAGAGATCCTTGTGGTTGCATAATAATAATTTGAAATCAGTTCTCCTGAAGAGGGGCACCGGTTTTACCATAGGAAAAACGATAATATTCCGAATCTTCTCCCAGTTTCTTCCTCTCACGTGGTATATTTCTTTGAGACTTCTCAGGGATTGTTTTTTTTCGGCCAGGGTGAATGATTTATCCTTCTTGATCACCACTGGATAATTACCAAAGGGTTGGGGAAAAAATCCTTTTTCAGCATGAAGCCAAACAGAAAAGCAAAGAAATCCCAACTGAGACCAGAACTAATCAGGGAGAACAGTAATGCACAAAAGATCCCCAAAGAGAAAACCATAGCCTTTTACTTGATCGCTATGAGGATGGGTGGGTCTGCAGAAGACGAAGCAGGATTCATCTCAGTGAGAGAAGACTGCCATTGTGTAGCCCCTAGGAGAAAAAAGGGGGGGGGGGAGGAAAAAAAGAAGCCACCAGCACACACACTCACACACCAATACCACCTCCAAGATCTAGTCTGACAGCCGAAGACAGAGCCTCCCTTCTCCCAGTGTCGATTTTTTTTTTTATAATCAATAGCCAGTGCCCAGTGGGATCGGATTGAACCTGCAGTTCTTAATCACCACGAAGAAAAGATGCAAATCTAGGTGCCTCCTCCCCTGGTCAGGCTGGTGGTGGGTAGAGAGCTCCACAGATCCCCTTCCTCCTTCCTCTCACTCTCCCAGTTTCCAACAACGGTGAGCATGGGGAAAATCTCCTCTCCGGATTCCTCACCCAGCCTCGGATGTGAGTTACAGGCATTAGAGGGAGGAGGAGGAGGAGTTGAAGTTTGCATTGAAAAGCCTGGCTTTCCATGACGTAGCCACGTGCTTTCAGACCCGTCACCAGTGAGATGCTTCAACCCGCCCAGGGAGGGCAGTGTCACTGCAGTCTCTCAGCTAGTTCCACTCTTGAAGTCCCCACCACTTACAGGGCCCCAGTGTTGGACCCTATCCCCCTTATGCTCAGCATGAGTTAGCTTGCTGATTGCTCTTGGAGCCATCTAACAGAGGGTTTTGTTAAAAATGAATTTGGAAAAGAAAAATTACCCTTATAATTAGTAAATCTTAAAAAAATTACATGCTTAGGACCAACATTAGTTTCACCTAACATTTTCAAAAGCAGCATCTAAAACATTAAGAAAACCTCAAGTTTCTTTAGTTCTTATTATTGGAATCCTACTTAAAGTGCTGTTTGCAAAATATAAATTAGGCATATGACAAATACGTACTTGCAGAAACAGACTGTTAACAGGGCAAGCACTAAAACCAAGGTGGCAAGATATATTTTGGTAGGGGAAGTCATTTGTACATAGGAAAATTTATACCTATTCTAGGCAGACAGTTCAGTATCATCAAGTAAATTTTTATACAGGAAGCATTCTGCTTAAATCACACTCATTCATTGCTTGTTTCTGTAACCATTAGTTGAACATTAAATCTCTCATCTATGCTAATATACAACCTTGTCACCAGCCACCAGAATCTAACCTAACAAAACTGGCAAATTTTCTATTTCACCAATATATAAATCAGCTCTTTACTTTCCCAGAAAAATCAAAACATTTAGGGCAGAGATGTTACTTATTTTGTCTTATTTGGGGAAACAATGCTGTGTACAAAAATAGTCCAAACTGTTAAAAAGAATAAGTAACAAACTCCAGGGTAGTCACCACTCAACATAAGTACATTAACATTTCATCATACATATGAACTAAGAAAACTGATCACTCTCACTCTTGTTAGGTAAATGAATTAAAGTTATGCCAGCTAATTTACATTTTTATAGGAAAATTGACATAAAGATTTAATTCTAAAAATATATGTTTAGAAGTTCCATTTTAATTTAAAACAATTAAAATTGCTCCTACTGCCTGGAATTTCAAAGTGTCTTACAAACAAATAGATGTAATTTTATGTTGTTGAGGATAAATAGAAGAAAATTCTTTTAAAGGAAATTAACTCCTCAGTTATCATTAAATGAAAATATAGTAAACAAGTTTCCCACCGCCAGAGTTCTCTAATATTTAGGAGGCATTTCGAGATGCCAAAATTTGCAACCAAGATCTGGAACCTTTTGGAAGACATCAGTCAATTTTAGGTAAAATAGAAAAGGAATTTAAAATAAGTAAATTCTATTGAAGTAAAATAATCCAAAAAGTTAAATAGTGATGTTCTCAATGTGCCAAAAAAAAATAACATCATACAGCTTTTAAACATTATCATAATTATGGCTTCTAAAGAACAAACTGACAGTAACCAGAGGGGCTGGGGGAGAGGGATAATGGGGAAAAATAGGAGACGGTCCATCAAGGAACACATATAAAGGTCACATGGACAAAGCCAAATGGGGTAGGTTCGGAAGTAGAAGGCAGGGATGGGTGGGGTTAGGGGCCAAGATGGGGTGAAAATGGAGACAACTGTACTTGAACAACAATAAAAAATAGAATTATTATGATTAATTGGAGCCTAAACAAAGTTTAGGATTAAAGAAAAAGGGAAAACTAAGAGTTCATGAATTTAATAACAAATGACTTAAGAGAAGCAGGTTGAAAAAACTTGAAAACTAGAATTCTTTTTTTGAAAGAGTAAAACAGGTATAGCATTGCCAAAGAATTAGGAAAATATTTTGGATATTAATCAATCAGGGACAGGTACTATACACTGCTTCTATCACATTCTGGTGTGTACTGTTGGGGGAAAGGGGTTCCTGAATATTCCGATCTATTACCCCTGGATATATGCCAAACAAACAGTTGGATAAAAAAATATTCTCCATTTAGGTCTTTTGAACTCCCACAGATCTAAGTTTCCCTAAAAGCTTTCTGAGTTCCCTGAGGTATTCACAAGTAGAGTAAAATCTGGGGAGATGTTCTGTAATTATTGGATATTTTCATATGCTAAATTTGTATAAAGAGGGTACTTCTCACACCAGCTTTTCTTGTATTTTCAAATTGGACTCTCGACATTGTAAGAGTGAATTTGTTCCATATTATAATAAATAATGACTTCCAGAAAGCTATGAGTTATTTTGTTATATATTATGGAAAAACGATTACTTTGTCCTATGACCAACATGAAAGGTAATTAACTCTGAATACTATTTATTGAGATTCTCTTATTTCAGGCACTGTGTTAATTGCTTCTCATCTTTTAGGCTTTTTAAAAGAAGGAGAAATATTTTTATTACAATGTGTAAAATTTCTGTAATTCATTTCTATATTTACTTAGTTTACATGGGCTATTATTCACATTATTAAACAAACAAAAACACCAAATATTTTTTGTCTAGAAAAGGTGGCCTAACACTGATTGAGGTTACTTTTGTATTACTATCAGTTTGTGATGAGCTCCAATTGACCCAATTCAATTATTCAACCAATACTTACTGAGCATCTATATGGAAAAATAACTATACAAGACTCCATATTGCATGGTAACCCACAAAATTAAAACAGATTTCCAGTTATACAATAAAAAAGACCAAGGGTGATCCAAGAGTCAACCCAGGTTTCCAGGGGCCTCCAGTTAGTTTAAAAGTGATGCAAAGACATTTACACTAACTTGAGTTCAGACCATTATTTAAGTTGGTGGTTTTTTTACAGATATCAAAATGTGTACTTATCCTTTGCCATGCTACATTCAAATCAATATTAGATAACCAAAAATGAAAAGTATTAGAAAGTAAATTTAAGCTTCAGAATGAATGTGAGTAAAGATAAGGAAAGCCTCATGGTAGCTGTAAGAATGAATAGCAAATCTGTAGTGTATATAGGTAGAAAAATCTTAAAACTGTTTTAATAAAGCTGAAATAAGATAAACCCAGTAGTCATAATCAAGTTCATTTAAAATTGTAACTTACCTTCAACCATGTCATAGTAAATAGATATAAAAGTAAATGAAATGACCAGAATTTCAGGTCACAATAAAATATACATTTTATTTTAATATATGACATGTGAGCTTCCACAAGATTATAAAAAAAATCTTTGTGACTGACTGTTTTAGCCTGCTTTTTCTAATTGTTCCTAATAGTTACTCTTCTATTTTATTCTTCCTTTCATTAATAAAACCCCACCCCCACCACAATTTTGGAAGGGCACATGAGTACTTAGATGAAAAAAATATAATTTCCAACCTTCATTACAGTTCAGTATGGTCATGTGACTAGATTATAAACAAAGAGACACAAACAGAAGTGACACATTGAACTTCCTGGTCACATTCTTCAAAGGAAGTTACTTGTCTCCCACTTCTCTCAAATGTCCTTTCTATGAGCTGAAAGTAATGGTCTGAGCAGCTTTGACATCATGGACAGGAACATATCCCAGGAAAAAATAACAAGATAAAATAAACTTGTGACCTTGGACAGAGCCAACTGATCTTGGACTGCCCACCCACCTAGGCACTATTAGATGACAGAGAAAGAAACTTTTTTTTACAGACACTGTATTTTTGTGTGATTTGTTATAACAGCTTATCCTCTTACTGTCAATGAACTGGTTTGGTATTAATAACAAAAACTTTCATTTTTTTTCTTTAAAAAAGGATTTAAAAACACCAATACATCACATATAACCCATGGCTTTAATTACAGTCTGATATTTTTTTATCCATTCACTATAATAGCTATTTATCTCTTAGCTGCCACTTACAAACCACTCTTACTTATTCTCCCCACCAGTGCAAATACTCCATTGTCAGATCTTACTTCCTTTTGTCTCTTCTACCCTGCTCCCTGCCCATTAGATGTAACCCATGGCAATTTAGAGCTATGATGATGACATTGAAGCTTTGGTAACTAAAGGGGAAGAATGACAGATGGAAAAGTGATTAGAAGAAAGACTTGGTCAGAAAAAGAAAAAGAAGACCAGTGTGTAAATAATGCCCCAGTGTCCAACTGTACCTTGTAGTCCTTTTCAGGAAAGATAGTACCTTTTGTTTTTTGTACACTTAGTCCTTCTCTATTGTTGGTATTAACAATTATATCACTTTGTAAGGAATAATTCTATTAGACTTTAGTATCATTTTTTTCTCTCCCCCTGTTCTTACATTGACTCATGGCATAGAAAACCTCTGCTTCTTTCTCCTGGAAGCAACAGTCTGGAAAGGTAATTCCAGTCCTTTCTCTGCCCTTCCCAGTTTCTCAATGAAGAAGAAATTACTTAAGTGGCCCAGTCACTTCTTTTCTCTATCTCTTTGGGTCTGCCTGCCTGCAAAGAAGTTTTCAGATTCCTCTGTTTCGGTTCCCCTCAGCAAAAAGTATTGGATCAGCCTTGAAGCCTATAGTCAATCTTCCAGATTAGTCTGGAGACCAATTTATCTCTGAATTCATCATGGGGGTTTGTAGCAGACATCATCAGTGCCTCACATACATCCTTTTCATCCTTTTCATCCTACCATATCAGTGTGCTCTGGTTGGCTTCCTGCTTCCATTATGTCCATTCCTGAACCTGAAGGAATTTTTTCCAAACCACAGAAGAACCCTCTGTCCAGGCACTCACAGAAAAGCCTGGGAATTAACACTCCCTCAGAGACATTTTCCAAGTCTAAACAACCAAACACCCTTATTCTGCAGGAGGGATAATGATGAGACACGTGTTTGACAGATTTACCTTGTGTAATTAAGATAGTCTCCCACCATAACAGCTGGTTTATTAACACACTATTGGTCCTCTCTCCCTCCCTGTATCCCTTCCCCATTCATCTGCTATTTTATCTCCCAAATAAAGTTACTAGGTCCTTCATCTTCC